CTACTCCGGAATTTACAATTGATGAGAATATGAAGATGGTTATCTCTACTCTTCATAAAAGCAAAGGCAAGAAACCAATGACAATTGAACAATCAGCCTTGCACTCCAGACCTCCTCTCAAACACTAACATGGATGGTCTCAGGAGGAAATTAACCAAGCCCTTGAAGAAAACATCCAGATTCAGGCTCTGAAAGATAATCCTGACCCATTGCGTGGGATCTATCCTCTTTTCTGTGAAGGCATCCTCCAAGATCACCAAATCATTCCATACATGTCCTATGACATTCCCACAAGTGATCTCGAGCAACTGGATCTTCCTTTCTCTCTCTCTCTATCTCTATCTCCTCTCTCTCTCTCTCTCTCTCTGTCTCTCTCTCTCTCCTTACAACAAATATTACAGCAAGTTCGCTCCGCTCCATCCCACAGATTCTCCTGAAGTAATCATCCGAATAGAAAGAGAAAGACTTGATACATTCTACTCTAAGAATGCCTTGCCGTTCAAGGATGTTTGGTCAAAGAAGAGGACCACTCAGGTCTCGGGCTTCAGAAGAAAGATATTGGTAAAGTTTGAACTGAACTGCCTATTGTTCGAGTTTCACATTTTCCGGAACAGACCTACTCCCCGGACTCTTACCGATGCAGATTTCCCCTCCATGAATCCGAATGATATTCTTACCCTGGCCACATACTTCAGAGAAAATCAAAATGATGACCTCAATATGGGAGCTTATCACGCTGCTCTAAGCTTCCTAAAAGACCATGTTGCATAGTTCAGCCGAAGAGACTATGAATTTGCTCACCTCTACGGAACTAAACAATTTGTTCTGAAAATTGACTTCATCCTTCCGAAAGCTGAACTCCTTACTGATGGTCCCATTGAAGATCCTGTTCTAGGGTTTGTCTACACTACAAGAAAAACAAACAAGAAGGATTGCTTCCGAGTTCTAGACAAACACCTGATCCCTACCAAAGCTCTGAAGAAGTTCATTTCACGTGCATCCAAGTCTGATGCTCCATAAAACATTAATGAAAAGTTTGTGAGTCAGCTGGCATGGTATGTTGAAGTCCAAGAATGGCTGTTTCGATCCTACACCTTCATCAAGGAAGAAATGAACTAAACTTAATGGATTGCTAAGTTCACTTAGGGGGAGATTGTTGGAACCTAAAAGTGAACCTCTAGCAATCCTTGATATTAATTCTGAAGTGTGTTTGGTTCCGGAAAGGAAGATACTCCGGAACATGTCCGAAGTTGGAGAAATGGAGTGAAGAAAATTGAAGAGAAACACATTCCAGAACTGATACTGAAGTCTGGAATGCATGCAGATCCGAAGAATGCTATTTTGTCTCTTGTCATTTATTATATTTGTATTGATGTAACATCTCATAGAAAATACCTCTAGATGCATCTGTTGTAGGTCTTATATAGGTATTTCACAAAAAGCTTGAAAAATAAGGAAACGTTGTGCAAAAACAAGGCTAGACTCGTTGCAAAATGATCTTGCCATGAGGAGGGTGTTGATTACACAGAGACATTTTCTCAAGTTACGAGACTTGAAGCGGTTAACATTTTTCTAGATTATGCTTCACACAAAATTTGGAGTTTTTCATATGGATGTGAAATATGCTTTCTTAAAAGGCAAACTTGAAGAGACGGTCCATGTTGAGCAACCTCTAGGTTTCATAAACAAAAAAATATCTGGATCATTGCTACATCTTAGATAAAGTTGTTTTATGGTCTTAAACAAGACCCGAGGGCATTTAATGCATATCTTTGGTGGTTTCTCTCTCAACTTATTTTGGGCTTTTTGAATTCAAATTTTAACCATTTGAATTCCATTGTTCAAATAAATACCCAACTTCAATTTTATTTACATATTTACATGATACACCAATTCTCAAACACTTCATTGAAAACCCTTTGATTCTTCAACTCTACGTGTGTTCTTTTTCAAGCATTCATCAATGGCGTCTTCTGCTAAACATGTTTCAATTATGGATCATACTACATCTTCTGTTACTCTCATTTTGAAGTAGAATCATAATTTGATTGCTGGATGATTCAAAATTTCCAACTACCGCTGAACCAGTTATTAAATATTTTAATCATTCAATTTTGAAGAAGGAGCCTGTTCATCATGAGAATGTTCCTTTATATGATTTGATATTAGCCTACTCGACTGCCAGTTATAATAAGTCACCGGATGTGATGAGTTTTGATATTGAGGGTCAAAAGACATCAATTTCAAAAGCCAATTTCTGTAAATTGCAAAGGGTTCCTATTGGAGAGGCTTACTTGAATCCTGAACAAATTCCATCTGCAAATGAGCTTAGGGTTATACATCAAATGAGGTATCATCCGGTGTTAACTCAATTATACAGGCTTATGAAATCATGTTTACCTGCTGTGTGTAACTCAGTGTTCATGATATTCCTCAAGTGTTTCTAGGAGAGAACATCTAGATTGGACAATGCGAGCAAGTGTCACAATTCCGAAAATTGTCACTGACCGCTAATAACTAAAAGTGACGAATGTCAATTATAATAGACTCAATACGTACTACATATAAATCTACAATTAAAATACAAGAATTTATATATCAAGATAGATAAGAAAAAATAGTCAAAACATCCATAAAATATATAAAAATAAATGCGTGGAAAGTTCCCTTATTTTTAAGAAATGATAACATATTCCGAAAGTACACATCTTCCCAATCCCGAAAATATAAATTCCATAAAAATCCAAGTCCATAGAAATTAGATATGATTTTTATAAAATATAAGAATCAAATGCACACAAAAGGTTACAAGGTTAAAAAGTTATGAATAGAATGGTTGAACTTTAGCCAAAGTCACCAAAATGAGAATCATAGTACTCTTTGGGATTATATTAAGAAAAAGAATTCGAAAAACGGAGTCCATACGAGAGATATGATTTTTCCAAAATCATATAAATGTATAAAAAGGTCTAAAACTAAATTCAGAATTAGCCAACACAACTTGAAGGAAAGTTTTAGTACTCTTTTAATAGCTACGTGTAAATATAAAGAACGTCAAAAACATAGGCCATATGAAGAAGTTATGCAATTTACAAAAATAGGCATTTTTGGTATGCGCACATCGCACACGTCTTCTAGAAGGGTGACACTGACCTACCAGAATCTGACACGTGGCAACAACATATTTGAGTGACGTAGCAAGCACACAACACACCGAAATAGTGTGTGACATGCATCGATACAACTACCCTATGACAGCCCCAGTATAGCTACACGGTAGTAGTCCCGATATGACTATTACATTGTACCTTATTGTTACTATGCCGAATATCCAACTACAATAAATGATACTGTTATATATATATATATATATATATATATATATATATATATATATATATATATATATATATATATATAGTAAGTATGAATAATAAAACAAACACAACCACGATGCGACTACACAAAAACAACCACGATACGACTACACATTAAGACGAAACTAAACAGAACTGATTATAAGTAACTCATTATAACATTGTTCATCAACCTTAATTTGATAAGTACTACATACATTTATATGTAGCAATACTATGAGCATTCATAAAGAGGAACACCTTATGCATACATTAATATATGTGATAGGACAATAACCTGTTAACCTACCCTCTGAGATACAAGAAGCGAGATAAAAATATAGGATAAGAAATATCTAATATACGACATTGATAGGGAGATTCCTAAGAAAATGGTTGTATACAATAAACATCAGATAGTGTAAGAAAACCTTTGTACCTATCTTAGTCCAAAACCATATATGCCAAAATACTTTTATAACTACATATGGTTACATGTGAAAAGTATTTTCAAACTATAAGACTAGTAAACTCACCAACATTATGTTGACCTATCAAAACCACATGTATTCATTGGAAACTTTGAGATAAAATATTGCACTCCGTGAAGCAACGATTAATCAACGGAGTTACTGGAAACTTAGTATCATTTATTCTCAGGCCTAACTGTGGACGCACCTTTTGTATTAGGGATTCTATAAAACATTTTTTGATGTACTATTTTATACATAATAAATATAATATTTATGTTATATCTTGTTTTTTCTATTTAGTGTATGCTCAATATCTAAGATCCAAGATTCTAACGTCGCATAAATCGGTGATTCCGCCGCCGACAGAGGGTGTGACAGCAAGTTATTTCATACGTTGATGTACCAAATATACAACAAAACATTCAAAGATTTCATATGCCAGATTTTGTTTGATTGTTGATAAGAATGCTTGAGACGATTATAAAGTCCAACATATGCAAGATGTTCGTATGTCCAAGATTTAGAAGTTGAATATTGCGAATATGGTATTTTCTGATGATACCATTTTTTCTTACATTGTGTAAAACCCGTTTATTTATTAGTTAAATAAATAAATTAATGAACGAATGGTAGCCTAAAATAAATAACTATGTATGCAAAGTGTTGGGTTCAAGGAGTTAATTTCCATATTTTTAGAAGTCGGGGGTTAAACGCGTGAGTTTGGGACTCATTTTATAAATATTTATGAAGATAGGGGCTCCGTGGTAATTATTTGAATTTAATTTTAAAGGAAATGAGATCGAAGGGCTGATTATGTCATAATTAAGATACTGGGGGCTGTTGGATAGTTTATGGGACTTAATTTGTAAGGGATTTCCATGGATTAGGTTAAAAAGGTAAATTTTGGATTAGTCTTGTAAAGATTTTAGAATTCGCGGGCTGTTTAGTAAAATTCAGAGTTATCTTGTTAAGATTTTCAAAAAGAAGGGTCTAATGGTAATTTAGTGGTCTTGCTTTGAAAGAAAATGGGAGGGGAGGGGCTAAGGGCGTCATTATGGGATCAAGTTTGGGATGGTATAAAGCTTTTCCATAACCCTAACCCTAAGGAAAACCTCTCCAACCGCCACCCTCACTTCTGATGCTGCCAACTCCTCTGTTAATGTCGTCGTAGATGCCGGAAACCTCCACGGGGCTGCCTTGCATTTTAGCTGCTATCGGGATGTTCGTGTTACTATCTCATTGCCACATCGTCGCCGGATATATTTGTTGCTGCCGGAGACGGAAGGGAGGTTGGAAGCGCCACCAAGACCGGCGACTGCCACTGTGGTCATCGTTGTGTGGGTTCTGCATGACCGGAGGTTTTTGGTAAGGTCATCCGCCGCTCCTTCTCCCATTCTTTGAGTGTTTTGATGTTGTGACTCCGTGTTTGAAGGCTGTGAGCGCCGACAACCCTCCAACCGCCACTTCTTCCCATTTCATCGACCCCAGCCTCCTAGTCGGTGGTTGGGAGTCTTGATTTCATGTTGTTTATGGATATGGTTGGCTGCCATCGTTTCATCTCCTTCTGTCGCTGCCAGCCACCATGTGGAGGTGGCTCTGGGCGTGAATTGTGGTGTGTATGACGATATCCTGTAAGAATAATGTTGTGAAGATTTTTGCTTGCCCATGAATCGGATGGAAACTCGTTTCCGCCGCCTGCTGCCGCCGCTCCGCCACTGCTAGCCACTATCTCGGATTGTTTTGGGCTTCCGGGTGCATTTGGATGAATACTTGGAGTACCTTAGTGTTGTGTTGACCGAAGATCATAGTCACCACCAGCGTGAGGTGGTGGCTGCCACCGCGTGTACCGCCACCGACCACCACAAGGGTGGTTGCGTGCGTGTGTTTATTTTAGTATAGCGTGTGAGTGTGTTTATTTTAGTATTTTCATTGTAATTGTAAAAAATGAAATAATGGAAAATTGAGAACCACCACCTTAGGGTGGTGGCTACCGCCTCTTGCCGCCACCAACCGCCGTGTCGGGTGGCGGTGTGCTTGTCTTGTGAGTTGACTCAATTGGGGATGCTTGAAACCCTAATGGGCCTTGTGAGCCATAATGGGCCCAATAAAGCTTAATGGACTCTAATGGACCCAATAAAACCCTGATGGGCTAGTATTTGGGTTGGAAAACCCTAATGCCATCAAAACCCTAATTTGGAGAATTATTCGGGACACACGGGAATTATTTAATAACTGGAGATATTCAATAATAATCATTGGCAAGAAATTAATTTAAGTAATAGTGGACTTAATGGAATAAGTCCTTAATGGGTTAAGTGAGAAAACTTAACCCTAATCGTCATTTTATGTGAAAACCCTAATTTCACTTGGGTGTATTATTGAGCCTTTTTATTGGGCCTTGATGATTGGATTAGTATTGGGCCATCCAAAGTCAAGCAATTGGACTAGAATAATTAATGGGCTTTAGGGTAAGGCCTATATGAGGAGTTGGGACCAATTTGGAAAATTGGGCCATATGTTGGGCTTTGATTCCTAATTGACTTTGGGCCTATGGATTGGGCCTTAGGATTAAATAAATCCAAACCTAGGGTAATTTAGTAATTATCCAAAGTAGGTAATTATGGTTATGTAGTGGGACCCAATTATTAATTGGGTGATGTTTTGATATTGATAGATCGAGAATCTGTCATCCAACAGCTGGGGTTGAGTCTGCAGGACTTCAACAGAGTGGGATTGAGTCTGCGGGACTTCAGTAGTATCAGGTGAGTCTTCTCACTATACTGTACCTGGAAGGGTACCTATGTGTGACCGGAAGGTCTAGTATGTTATGAGATATATGCATTGTATGAGTTGCCTGTCTCGTATGCGCTATGTATGTGATTTGTATGCCATGTTGATATGGACCGGAAGGCATTATGATGTGGACCGGAAGGTCAGAGAATTATGAACCGGAAGGTCGACACGGGTAAGACCAGAAGGTTTACCAGGTTGGGACGAAAGTCCCCTGAGACATATGGACCCGAAGGCCATGGGCTGGAAGGGCGTATGTGTGTAAGTGGTATTTTGGGGAACTCACTAAGCATGCGTGCTTACCGTGTTATGTGTTATGTGTTTCAGGTACATTGTTTCAAAGGAAAGGAGCCGGCTTGGTCGCAGCGCATCACACTATGTTTTCCGCACACTAGATCCTTGGGATTACACTCTGATATGCTTTTATGATACTTTGTTTAATTATTGACACTTTGGTTTTTGATATGAGATTTTATTAAGAAAGTTTTTTTTTTATATTGCTCGGTTTTATGCAATAACTTAAAATAAAAATGAAATTTCTGGTCTTGAATTTTGGGATGTTACACATTGGCTCTATTATGGAGGTAATGATTGTGAAAGTGACTTCAAACATAAAAATTATCAATACTTATAAGCTGATACCGAAATTTTGGAGAAAGAAGTGTTGCATCTTTGTTGTAAGTAATTCTAGATACGAGTATTGTTATAAAACAAACTGGTGGAAAGAAAAGGAAGGTGAAATTCGTTGAAGAGGATGTAAATAGGAAGCCAAAGCCACTAAAGAAACTCAAGAAGAAAGAAAAAGTTTCTATTGTTGATGAGGATATGGAAGTGAATGTCAATGAAACTACTGTTAGTGATAATCGTTTTGAATCCAATGTTCAGAATGATGAAAATATTGCAAGGTCATCAGAACAACCAGCCACTACTGTGATACATGCTTAAATTGTGAATAAATGCTTGGTAAAGTCATAAGGTATCCTCTGTTCAAACACCTACTACTACTTCTATCCCTACTCCCACCGAAACCAATATTTTACAAACTGTTCTTAATCAACCAATTATTAATCTTTTGCAACCGCAATCCCTAGTTCAACATAACAAATCCCCATCTCTCAAACCATTACCACTTCATTATCTCAATCCACTATGATTATTCATGATTCCACTACTCCACATATTACAATTGTAACAACTTTTATTGACAAACATCGATTTTTGATTTTTCTGTTCATCTGACTAATACTACAAATCAAACTAATGATAGTCAATTTGGTGGAGAAGATGAACTTGCAACATATGATGATGTTGAAGGTACTAATTATTTTGAAGAATTTATGGCAACTGTATTGGTGACATCTTTTATTGACGATGAGAGTGATTTAGATGAGGAATTTGCTAACCATCCGACCATAAAGAAAGACAACATGAATCTCAATAGAAAACTAAATATGCTTGTTCATCCCACAAAAGTTTTCTCAACTTCCAAGTTTCAACATATGATGATTTTACATGAGGCTAATCTGAAAACTCTATTTTAGAAGAGTAAAAGGTTGTTTGATGAACATGAAAAGGTTGTGAATGCTACTACTGTAAAGATGGATGCTGCCCCGAATGAAGCCAATAAGCTTAATAATCTCATCTTATTTGACAATACGGTTCATTGTTTGAAATTCACTGAGTCAATTAACACTCTTGTACAACATTACGATGGTGAAGCAAATATATATGATGATCTTTCAAGAAAAGATGCAAAGATAACATCTCTCAAGTGGGAGTTGATGTTTGCAAAGACTGATATTTTTAAGAGAGATGTTGAATTGTTATTATTTAATGGATGGAACTTTGAGATCAAACAAAGGCTTGTGAATATAGAGGAAGAAAAGGATGCTCCATCTGTTGATTATATTGCTGCCCGTTTAGATGCAAAGCTTCAACCAATTTTTCCAAGTTGTCACTTGTTGAGATTTTCTTTTTGAAGAACAATGCTCATTTTCAATAAGGGGGAGATAGGGGAAGCATTCATATTGAAAATCCTTATCAATTTCCTGATTTGCAAAAGAAGCTAGAAGTTTTAAGACAGATTGTTATTGTTGAGAAATCTTTGGGAAAACATTTGGAAAGTCTTACTACTATGATTCCAACAAAAGATTTTTGATCTATAGTGTAAAAGTTATTACTTAACCAGAATTTGATCCGAATGATAAAGAAGCTCAAGAGAAGAAAGATGAAGATTCTGAAAGATTCATTGCAAACTGAAATGGATCAACAAGAAGCAGAAAAAAGAGTGAAGGAGGTTGTGAAGGTAACTTTGAAAGCTTTATGGCCTAAATGGTCAGTTAATACAATTTTGGATGAAGCAACCAAAAATGTAGAGAAACATTGGATCTATCCAAGGTCATCATTTGTCTTGGATTACGTGAGTGACTGCTAGTTGGACTTACCTATGACTGCGAAGGCATTTATTTTTAGCGTTTTCCTAATACTATTGGTTCTCCCTTGAGAAATAATATCATGAGCAAGAAGTTTTTCAGTTGTATGCTTCATAGTCTAGGCTACAATATGAAGTTTGGAGTTTAAAGAGGATCATTTATATCTATGATTATGATGTTGAAGAGGTAAATAAGGAGTTTGTTAATTACAAATTCGAAGTTCTATGAGGAAGCAATAATGAAAAATCTATATTTTCCTATGCTGATCTACCATTGATGATTTCACATGTCTGGCTCATGTTGTGCTGAAAAATAACAAAGGAAAAGACAAAGTATGCAAATCAACTTCACCACTTGAAAAGGATGATACAATTTTATTGTCTGGAGCTTTTCAAAATGGATGTGGAAGTGGTTAATTTCTTAAACACAAAGGAACGTATTAGGCTTTGTGATTAACAAGATAATATTGAACAAATGAGATATACTTTTACGTAGAAAGAACCTTGAGGAGTTGTTCACAAAAATCATGAGAAAATAATTGTAATAATCAAATGATGTACCTATAAGACAAAATATAGGTATGGAATACTAACTTGCATTCTTAAAAAAGATAAAATGTGTAAGATGAATTCAAAGCATGAGATAAAATGTCTATCATATATGTTGTGATGGTGGATAATAGTTCATGTTGTGATTCACGGTGTTGCTCCTCAGGTTTTTGAAGAAATCATGCGAAGACTTCTTTCACAACTCGACACAAAGGGGAAGATTGTTAAGTCACGTAATATTGATGTATTGTGTCTGAGTTTAAATGCGAAAGGTTTTGTAGTTTTGTACTTTAAGTCTTTAGTTTGTAATTATGAAAGTACGTTTTACTACAAATGTCTGTTTAGTCTCGTAGTATTGTACACTAGGCTCTGCAGTGGCTATCACTTATTTGTTTGACAACCTATATTAACCTAGGTGTCTTGACCTAATTCATCATTTCCTAACTGATTCCTTGGGTATGAACTTATATAAAGGGGCTGTCAGTTAGATAAAGAGAATATCTTTTGAGTGGTTCTTACTATAATCTATAATTGAGCTTCTTATTCTCTAATTCAAAACCATATGATATTTACTTGCTTGTGTTCATTCAATTCTTCGTTTCAATCAAGATTTTTGTATTTTAGAATCTATAAGATCCTAACAAAAATCTACAAAGTCCCTACCTCATCCTCTACAGCCCATGATGATTACAAGACTACATTATGATGATGATTTTTTATCTCTATCACTATAACCCCAAACTTCACATCATCATTGAGATCATCAAGAAATCAAAGCTACAGGTCCTTTCATGAGATTCACCAGAAACTGCTCTATTTTCTCTCTCAATAAAGATTTCTCAACTGCTTTCTTTCCTAAGAAAAAAAGATGAAGTTATCTTCAAGTTGATTGATGACATTGAAATGGTCATGAAAAGAGAAAATTTTATGAGCGCCATTAGGTTTCCTCTTTAAAACCTGAACTGAGTTACACAGTTACTGATGTGTGTAAAACCAACTAGTTTTAATCCTACTAACACGAAAGGCAGTTTTCTCTAGTTTTCTCTAATATTATCTAGATAAGACAAATAACAAAAAGGGGGTTTTCTCTAGTTTTACAAGACTAGAAACTTAATTAGAATAACCAACACACAAATTAACATACTAGCAACTAAAACAATTAATTACCAACTAAATTCAATAGTAAAGAGGACTTCTGTTTAGGTACGACTCATTTGTTCCCATGGATGATTTTAATGTATCGGATTAATTCTTCATTGGCTACCGATTAAGATAATTAGGTTCATGTTCGCTATTCCTAATTCTTAGAAAACAAATTAACTCAAGCAATGGCCAGTTGTCTAAATTAACGGGTTTCCTAGATTATTGATTCGGGTTAAGTAAGACTTGTAGTGGTTAACTAAATTGGCCCTTCAATTAACCTCTTGTCGATGTTCATCCAATAAGCTTACACATTAACTTACCTATCTTCTAGTTAATTCTAGTTTCACATTCGCTATTCCTAGACATACAACTATGTGGTCACAATAAATCATATGAAATTAATAACTAAGAGATTTTCATACAACTTAATTACTGATTTATTAATAGAAGAATAGTTATTGTCAACACATAAGGTTCTTTAACAAGCTTAACCAAACATAATTACCAATCAAAATTAATCCTACTCAAATAATCAATCCATGTTCACAAAATTGTCTACCCTAACAGAAGAATAAGTTTTTAGCTCATGATTGCAGTAAACATAAACTCAAAAATGAAATCAAAGTATGTAAACATGATTCAAATCAAAAAGTTACTAAGAATAAACCAAAATTGTCTTGATTCTCTTCACAATTGAATGTAGGGTTGATTCTTCAGTTCCTCACGACCTAGCAGCACTTCCAATCGTTTCTCAGCCTCCTAGGGTTTCTCTCCATCCTATGATATCGATCTGAAAGTCCCTTTATATAGATTTTCACAAAACAGAGGCTATTCGGCGAGTCCAGTGACCTATTCGGCGAGTCCGTCACTTAAAACCCGTGCACGGCAAGTCAGCGCGTCCAGAATCGCGAAAGTTCGATACAACTCGCCGAGTAATAGACCCTACTCGCCGAGTACGTTTCGAATCAGCATTTTCTCAAAACATGAAAGTCGTCTGAAATTGTGTCTACTTTTCAGAACATTTTGAATCTCGTCAATCGGAGTTACGGTTCATGAGATATGGCCAAAACACTGACGAGGGGTCAAGCTGTCCAACAACATTCTTCTTTCTTCAAAATCCAAGATCCAAGCTTCCAATAGCTAGTTCTGCTTCATTTTCCTTTCGAGCATGTCTTTGTTGCTGAAAATGAAATATTTAATCTAATTAAGCACCTTTTGTTCATTAAATGAGACAAAATCAACATAAAGTATTAAGATCATGCATGAATTTTATAATTAAATATGCCCATATCAGTTACAACAACAAAAAACTGAAGGAGAAGATAACTTAAATGGGATATAATGACACCGAGCCAAATCTAACAAACTACAAGAAGGCTAAGTTCTATAACATTTGGAATTTTCTCAATCATTTTCTTATTCACTTCCTAACTGGGAAAATAGGAGGAACCGATTCTCCAAGTTTATCTTGGTTGGGAATTATTTATGGGTTATTTTACAGCAGACCTGTATGCTAATTTCTCGACTTTTTTGCATCATATAGTTTTTTGGAAATATTAAAGTGACTAATGATAAAGAGAAATTTGAGCCAAAATCCATCAATCATTATAGTCATAATGAAAAATCTCATACGAATTTCTTTACACTTCCATCTACTATGCTTCATCTTTTGAAAAAAAAAATTCCCCATTGGTGATCAAATACATTGAAGAATCACAACATCTAGTAGAACCAAATGTTGTTCCAACTTGTGCGCTGATAATGAGGACTCTGTAGATAAGGGAGATGCTGCTCTGAAATGAAAAGCAGTTAGTACTGATTCTCCAGTCTCAAAGAAACCAAAGGTTACCCCTTCAAGTTCTCAAAGAACTAATTCTAGCAATGTTGCTGAACAGGCCCATGCCTCTATAATTCCCACTTCCAGTACAAAAGTGATACCATTTGCTTCTCTAATCAAAGGTCAAGGAACTTTTGGAAGTCCTACCAAAATGATAAAAAAATCTGGTTTGGATCAAGGCCACTTGAGTGTTCCAATTGGAACCACTCATGACGAAACTGGGCTTTATGGATGGTCAGGTTCAAGTCCCATAACTCGAGAGTTAGAAAGCCACCTTAATGGTGATAGGAGTAATACCCAAGAGCTAAGTGATCCATTTTCAAGACGAAGGGATGAAATGAGAGTGCTTTTGGTGAGGAACAATTGTTTATTAGTTTGATTTCGATACACTATGAGTCTGAACTTGTAGAAAGAAAGAGACAAATAGAATAACATCTTGCATGAAGAGAAACCATGAAATATAAAAAATAGGAATATATCAAGGCTACAAGACTGATTTGTGGTGAGAAGAAACGTTTAAATAAACTTAAGGGTGATACATTGATGAAAGCCATCAAAAGACAAAAATTGCAAGAGCCACTCACAAATGAAGCACAGACGACTGGAAATATGATTTTGTCTAAGAAATGATTGATGACAAGAAGGATCAAGAAACATTCAGAGCTAAGGCTGAACACGAAGCAACCAAACTAAGGAAAGAAGAAGAAGACAGAATACAGAAAATACAAGATGACCAGAGGTTGAGAAAACAAGAGAAAAAGAAAGCCAAAGTTGTTGAACTCGAAAGGTGGCAGAAGAATAGAGGTTAAGGATTAAGGAGGAAGAAAATCAACGACTGATTGCTAAGGAAGAGGGGAGTTTAAAAAAGAAAAGGATGAAAAGGAACTCAAGAGAATTGTTAATGCAACTAAAGAAACTGAAGCAACATGACTTGCCGATGAACAAGCTATTACTGATACTCGAAGGAATACTGATACTTCCAAATCAGAGAGTGACATAAGTTGTATGTGGTTCCTACA